AATGCCGATCCAGGTAAGCAGATTATAGACACACACAATACCACCTTCTGTTCGTCTTCCAGGAACAATCCGGTCCTCTGGAGCATCCAGGAAACACACACAAAACAAAACCTCGTCCACGGCCAAAAAATTCCTAACTCAGCCCAGCACCTGCTCCTCTTTCTCTCTCTCTCTCTCTCCTTTTCTTTCCTCTCAACAATAAAAGTCATAATTCATGCTCTCTGTTGATCAAACCGAGACGCTGTTACTTTTACTTACATCATTTGAAAATCACAAAGTTCCAGCTGTAATCAGGCGCTTGTACGGAAGCCTGTTGAGCAGGACCATCAGCAGCCGTGACGTTACAGCGGCTTTCATCATCCCGGCAGACTTTTATATTCAGGGAAATTGGGGGAGCAGAAGCAGCAGAACTCCTGCCATGGGAATTACAGGTGTGACTGTGCCACTGCGTCTTTTATTGCGATGAGAAATAAACGCATTCTTTGAGAAGAATGTGCTTGAGACAGATGAACTAAAGAGGTAGCAGAGTAAAGGAAAAACGTTCATGCGCTTAGCATTTAATAGGGGATGATGGGATGGGATTCCACCATCAAAAGTGTCCTCCTACATAAAGAGCCAAAATAAAAATCAAGACTAAAGCACTTCTCGCCAACATGGTGTCAAAAACACCTTCTGTCAGAAGCTAGCAGGGTGTTTGACAGGGAAATGAGGGTTTGGATTACACAAGTGCTTTAGATGCCACACTGAAATATGTGAATTACTGCACTAAACAAAGGACGAGAGAGAAGCCAACTTCAAATCCTCCTGGGAACTTCTTAACAGCTCCGAAATGAGAAGTACATGACACTTCAGTTTTTCAGATCACAATCATTTCAGATATCCTCTTTTCACATTTTTGAATCTCTCCATCTAGCCATTCTATCATTAGGATCTATCCATTAGTCATCTAGCTATATTTTCATCCATCTATATATCAATTTATCATCCATCCCTCATCCAACTATAATATATAGTTCACATCCATCTTTCTATCTATGTAACATTTATCAACATCAATCTTTCTATTCATCCCCCAATCCCTTCATCCTCCTATTCATTCATTAGTTATCCATCCATCCATCCGTTATCCATCACCATCTAATTATTATATTTCCCATCTATCCATCCATCCTCTTAACTATCTCTAATTTCATCCATATACCCATCCCTCCATTCTCCTATGTATTTATTATTCTGTCTGTCTGTCTGTCTGTCTGTCTGTCTGTCTGTCTGTCTATCTATCTATCTATCTATCTATCTATCACCATCTAATTATTATATTTTACATATATCATCCATCCTCATAATTATTTATAATTTTATCCATTTACCCATCCCTCTATCCTCCTATGTCAGGGGTGGCCAACCCTGTTCCTGGAGAGCCACCTTCCTGCAGATTTCAGTTGCAACTCATATCAAACACACCTGAACCAATTAATTAGGACCTAAACACCACTTGGTAATTACAGGCAGGTGTGTTTGATATGGGTTGCAACTGAAGTCTGCAGGGAGGTGGCTCTCCAGGAACAGGGTTGGCCACCTCTGTCCTATGTATTCATTGGTCATCCATCCATCCATCCATCCACCCGTCTGTCTGTCTATCATCCATCACCATCTAATTATTATATTTCCCATCCATCCATCCATCCTCTTAACTATCTATAATTTCATCCATTTACCCATTCCTCCATCCTCCTATGTATTCATTGGGCATCCATTCATCAATCGATCGATCTATCCATCTATAAGTAATTCATTTATATTTTTTTCCACTTATTTCAATTTATCTTCCATCCATCTTCTAATTATGATTTCACATCTATCCATGCATCCATTCTTTCATCCTCTTATCTATCGATTAGTCATCTAATTATACTTTCATCCATTTACAGTATGTTAATTTATCATCCATCCAACCAATTTGATTATATTTCACATCCATTAATCCATCAGATATCAACCGTAGCACAGGAATCGATCTTAGCTGTAACACCAATCTGTCAATCCACAAATCCATCCACCCATCCTTTCATCTTATCTATCCATTAGTCCTCTAACTTTCATCCACTTATAGTATGATATCAACTAATCCATCCACCAACCAGTTTGATTCCATCTAGCTATATATCAATTTATAATACATCTACAAATTATATAACACATCCATCCTTCGTGCTTCATCCATCGCCTTATTAATGTGTTAGTCATCCAACTATATTTTCATCCATTTAAAGTATAATATCAATTTATCATCCATCCACCAACTAATTTTATTCAATTTATCCATCTAAATGTATTATCCATTCATCATCTAATTATTATATTTCACATCTAGCCATCCATCCATCCATCATGCTTCATCTTATTTATCGGTCATCTCAAGTCATCTATCTATACTTCCATCAATGTAAACATCAATTCATCCACCTATCAACCAATTTTTACACATCCATCACATCTATTTTTCAATCTATGTAACAGCCAATCTTTCAATCCACTCATACATCCACCCATTCCTTCATCCTCCTATTTATCCATTAGTCATCTATCCATCTATACATTCATCCATTTATTTATTCATCCATCTACAAAACCTTAACATTTTCTAAATGTTCAGGTGTCTACATCATATCATCTTCTAACTAAACGTTACAGCAGTGGACCTGAAAGAGCAGTGAAAGGACCCTAATGCCAACTAAAGCACCTCCTGTCGCCAAACTGAAAATGCTATGTGTAATAAATTTACTTTTAATGATTTAACAGTGTCTTACAGGTGGTTTGTCAAACCCACTTACCTATGTAGTGCACACTCTGAATTGTACAATGTTTCCCAAGATGTACAGGGTGTTTAGGAAGGTGTCTGGTGCATATGGAGAGTAAAAGATTGTCAACTACAGGAGGTTTGTCAAGCCCACTCACACATGTGGAGCATTGTACAATATTTCCCAAGACGTATGGGGTGCTTAAGGTGTCTTATACGGAGAAAAAGAGAGTATGTGAACTACAAGTGGTGTGTCAAGCCCTCTCACCTGCATGAAGCACACTGAAATTGCAGAATGTTTGATGTGGAGTGGAGTGTGTGAAAAGCGAGTGTGTCCTACAGGTGGTTTGAGGCACCACTGAAAACAGGGATGAACTATTAATCGCATTTCAATATATCTTAAAGTTTCAAGTCTCATAATTACTGACAAAAGTAGCGGAAAGAATTTGACTACTTTTTAAAACTAAAAGCCTTCGTTTTTTTAATGAAAAACACAACTACCCAACTAAAACCTTTATTGTTTCACAATGTGAATAATATATACAATTTTAAAAATAACATGCTATAAACGCTGGTTAGTATGACTGCATGTTATTGCAAACACAGTGTGTGTTCTGGCAGAGCGAGGGCTGTATGGCCGTTGGGTATTCACTGTAACGGCACACAAACGGCTCACAAAAGCAACCAGCAGAGCCCTGATGAAAATCACACCATTACATCTGTAATTAACAGCATGAAATCCTGCCATGAAACCCCTTCAATGTCTGAATAACATCCCTGATCCATGCGCCCACAGGAGAGCCAATGCACGCTCCCACAATGCACTGGGGCAGCCGGACTGATGGAGCTTTGGAGCTCAATTTCCAACACAATCATCCTCATTTCAGCCTGAAAATGCCAGAGAGATTCTGCTGCAGTCTCTTTAGTGAAAGGAGAGAGAGAGTAAGAGTGAGAGAGAGGGAAAGAGGGGGAGAAAAGAATGGAGGCGGACAAAGAGCGTCTTTTAACAGCAGTTTAACAGTCACCTGGAGGGCATGAAGGACACGAGAGAGAAAGAAGACTGTGTGTGAAAGAATGTGTGTGAGGGATATGCACTCTGCAATCGAAAAATCACACATTTACAGGCTGTTTTATACATATTTACTCTCTCTTTATCCATCTCTTTTTGACACTCCATCTCTGAAACATTCTGTACTGTACAGGTTTCTCTTCTCAATTCCATACAAATGACTGGATTACGTTTTAGCCAAGCTTTCTTGCAACGACACAAGGTGAAGTGCCCTGTCAAAGCATATACAGGGATACAAAGATGATAACTCAAGTAGTAGTAACAAAAGACATCATGCAAGTGTTATTTAAGTGTGCAAGTGGGTTTTCCCCCCTTATTGACTCAACCTTCTTCCAGGCAGGCATCTACACGACGAGTGAAGGTGAAGGTTTATTTTCATCTGCTTAGTAACACAATGATAAATCTACAAAGAAAGTTCATTAGATAAAACCCCAGAACTTGCACTGGCCTTTAGGACTTTAAGATTTATTTTGCTGAATAAATAATTTAAACCTTAAATAAATTTAACATATGTTTTATTACAAAAAGTGATTTTCTTTATGAAATAAATGTATCATTCAAATTAATTTTTAATTAAACGGTTAGGTTTAAATGCAGTCTAAACTCTTAACAAGTATTGGAAGTAACGCAAGCTACCTTATAAGATTACTTTTCAAGAGTTCACACTTAGCTGATGATTGATAATAAAGCTTGTTTGGCATGCTGTCCTGGGAGAACCCTGAGCTTATGAGATCCTCGAGCCATATGAGATAAATGACGTCAGTACGTAATAACCGGTGATTTATTAATGAACTGATACCGAATTGCGCACGTCTGCATCGCTCTGCTCCGAAGAAACAATTCATTTTGACACCCCTATGCAAAAGTAACAACACGTTTCTTACGATAAAAAGTAACCAACTAACACATCTACTTACGTTTTTGGGGGAATAACTCAATATTGCAATGCATTACTTTCTAAAGTAACCTTCCCCAACAATGCTCTAAACACAATTATACAATACAGACAAGCCATATGAACATTTGCACCAAAATGACCACAATATTCTCTCACACACACAGCTCAGCATCAGAAGATGCTCACAATAACAGTACATATTAAGCTGCATTAAAGAAGGATAATGGTCTTACCTCTATGTCTGTTTGTAGTTTTATCAAACATTAGCATGGCATCCTCTACCTAAAAAAGATGGAAAAAAGCACACATGAGTAACTGAACAAAGTATTTTAAAGTCCAGAAAAATAGTACAACAGTATGAATCGACTATTTTGCTCAACCAGGACACAGAAGTAGTAATGTAAATGTACTGCCAATGTTTGAGATTCACAGACTAAACCAGCCAAATGTTATCAGTCGATTGAATGGGCATTATCAGTGGTTATCAGCTGACATTGGTCAGCAGGGGCCTTCTGCACCTACTGGTAGGCTCAGAAGGCGGTTATCATCCATCCACATGGGTAATCAGCTAAAGATCACATTCAACTGCGACCAGAAGTTAACAAGAATTATTTATATTATTTATTACATTTCCCATTAATTGTAATTTATTAACGTATAACCCTACCCCAATCTTAAACACAACCATCAAAGTAATGTAAAAACAGATCTGGAGTCTTTCCAATTATTCTAGCTGATTAACCATAAGAATTATTTATATTATTTATTATATTTCCCATTAATTGTATTTTATTAACATAATCTTTTTTAGTAAAAAATAACAGACCTATAGGCCTACTGTATATGACTGGTAGCACACTAACGAAAAACATGCTTGCCGTAAACTAGGCTACATTACTTGAGCATTCGTTATGACATTGATCTGTTGTGGTCCAGCTCATGGTTCCTTTTTTAATATTAGATTTTTCTTTGAAATCGATAGGCTACCACTACTGATCCTAATCAAAACACAAACTGCTCTGTTACATAAAATAATTATATAAATAAAATTACAGTGAAATATTCACAGGTTCAGAGTTCAGATTTTTTCTGTTAATGACAATCCATATTGCGGGGTCACCGAAACACAGCGCACAGCTTTTCAGTATCTGTGGACACTCTTCCCTTTAAAACTTAGCAGCATAAAGGGAAAGAATGAGTGTTGGGGATTAGTCCAGGGTATTATTAAGCCTTTTTAGAGCCTAATTTTAGTTCTAAAATTTCAGCTAGGCATACTTTGCGTGTAAAGAGCAGGTAATAACCCTCTCTACTCCAGTGGTGTGAATGTGATCTGCTCATAACAGACACAGGGCAACATGATTTAGAAACAGCAATGAACTAAACTATACTAATTTCTGATAAACTAAACTAATTTCTCCACTGATTACTTATATTAACAGGAACAAATAGTCTTGGAGAAAGTTTTTCATGTTGTCATGAACGCAAGGCGCAGATTGAATTGTGAATAAACGGAGCCTTCATGGCTTTTGTTGTCTTATAAATTGCACAGAATACAGCGCACACGCAAGATGGCATTTGGATCGGTACCAGCTGGCTGATACCTGATGTCCTATCTGATCCAAGTATCAAGATCGGTGCATCCCTAATTAGAACCAGCACACACATTCAGATTAACCATGCAGATGGATGATAACAGCATTCTGAGCCTACCAGTAGGCGCAGAAGGCCTCTATCGGTCCTTATCTATCAGCTGATGACCACTGTTAATGCCCATTGAATTGAGTCATAACATTAGAAGCGGTTGCTGAAACTGACAATACAAGTTACCAATTTGATTTGGTAATCCATCGAAAAAATCCAATCCAGATGAGATGCTTACCAAAAGTACTTCAAACTCTTTGTATGATGGGATTTGGGTCAACAAGAACAAAACATCCTTATATTATACAATTAGTAATAAGAAGTGCAGATCTCAATGAGCTGTGTATAGGGTTGTAACGGTATGAATTTTTCACGGTATGATAATCGTCTAAAACAATACCACGGTTTGACGGTTTCGCGGTATACGGTATGTTACAAATGTTACAAAATAATAGAACAGTGAAGCAAATTTGACTTTTTCCAAATAATATATTTTTAGTTATTATAAACAACACCACTTACAATGAACAAATAAAAATAAGAAAATAATAAATAATGTGTCAAAGTCCAAATACAGTCCAAATAAACATGGTGCAAATCCTCAGTAAAAAATAGATATAAATATTTACTATACTATAAATAGTTACATAACGAAACTAAATTCAATATGGAACATCCCCAGGTTTTATGTGCCAGCATGGATATGGTTGTCTATCGATATGGATTTGGATGTGGTTGTCTGCAATGCAGACAAACAGCTGCATCTTCATTTGCGTCTTTTGGTAAAAGCAAGAGCAGCAGTTCGTCTTTGCTGTGTCACTGTTTTGTCATGTTTCTGTGCTGCTGTGCATGCAAAAGTACTTAGTATGAGAATTATTTCATGAAAAACTTTTTTTTTTGCGTTTTATTTAGCCGCGCATAAATGTATGCCTATCTCTCATTCCGTGTTGTTCAAAAAGCTTGGTCCACAAACAAAAGCGAAACCTATGCTTATTGGTTGTGATATAGCGAGTTTGAACCAATCTGGGCATGGAGGAGGGACAATGCATCAATGTATCATGTCTGATTTGTCCGGAGACACAGTGACGAGCGTTTCTTTGTCAAATCAGCGTTGTCAAATGTTGATGACGTAACCGCACTGATTCCGGAGCCTCTGAAAGTCCGCGAATGTTATGTGATACAGCACTTGAAAGCTGATTCTCTTCTTTATGCCAATCTTTGAATTGTATGAATCGGATCAGCGGATCAAAAGTTATTAAACATTTAAGAGCAATACTTATTTTTAGCCGCGGGCGGCTGTCTCGGTCTTTAAGGGTTAAAACCGTTGATATGCAATTGTTCATGGTATGATAATCGTGCACGTTCAAATCGTGGTAAACCGTCATACCGGTATATTGTTACAACCCTAGCTGTGTATAACACCTGCGTCATACAGTAACAAATGCACTGCAATCATAACCAAATATTTCTCCAGAGCACCACTGATGGCTCCCTGTTTTTTCAGGGTCCTTCCTCAACAGGACACATACTTAGACAAGTAACCTTTGCATGATGATGCAAGCAGATTCCTAAAAGAAAACACACAGAATATTGTAGAGAAACACCAGAGTCCAGAGTAATTTGCCCTTCATGACTCACGAGAGAGAGAGGGAGTCAGTCTCAGAGGGAGACAAAGCGGTCCATGTGTCCATGCACTGCCTGCCTCCTGGATACGGTCGCTAGGTAACATGAGAAGTTGTCTGAGTGTAAGAGACAGACTGTCCAGCGCAACGGGAGACCCCAGTATGAGCCCAAGGGGTAGAAACACACACACATACACATACACTGCACACACACAGAGGTCGTGGTGTGTCTTTAATAGAGAGGTATTAAAATATCACAGCAGCATGAGTCAAACCTGCTCCGCCCACATGAGCCCCACAGCGAACCAGCACACACATCCAGACAGACCTACTGTAGAGCACTTCCACCTGGAGCAGCGTGGGTTAAACACTTCCATCATGGGCAAAATGAGATCAGACATTTCCCTGAAATTATGGGTTAATGGCTGGAAGCAAAGCTGAGCCTGCTGCTCTCAGCGCAAAGCAGATCAGACAGAAGCAGACCAGACCAGACTAATACTTCATCTTAGATCATGTCATCTATCAGATCACAACTAGACCAGCTCATACTATATCAGACCAGATAATCATTATCAGCTTACACAAGTCTGGAGACAAGTCTGTCAGTGTCATATCATGTCACATCACATATCAGACCAGTTTATATTATATCAGACGAGAGAGCACCCTGTACTAGAAAAAGTCCACTGTAGTTTACATCACATATCAGACTCTAATGACATACCAGTCTATATTGTATATCAGACCACATTAAGCCAAACTAATTGCATTAAATTAAGTCAGGACTAGTCCCGGTCTAGTCTTTCATATCATATCATCAGACCACAACATACAAGTCTATTCTATTATCAGACCAGACTGTTTATGCTAGTCTGGAAAAGCATGTGATGCTAAATATCATACAATATATCAGACTATATCCTACAAGACCAGCCCGGTTCAGATCATACCATACAATACTAGCTTATTTCAGTTAAAATCCTAACACATCATACATTATATTAGATTCCTCTAGCCTAGTCCACATAGTACTAACTAGACCTGACCACATCACAGCAGACCTACTCTAACTCTACATTATTTTTCAGATCAGAACAGAATACTCCAATTCGGACCATTTCAGGTCCGACCTAAACAGACCTGAATGATCCAGTTCAGACCGCATCATCTATCAGATCAGTCCAGGGCAATCTAGTTTAGATCACATAATATATCAGACCAGAACAATCCAGTAGAGAAAACATCAGACCAGAACAATCAAATCCAGACCACATCATATACATTAAAACAGACTAGAGCAACCCAGTCCAGACCACATCATATATATCATATCAGACCAGAACAAACCAGTCCAGACCAAATCTTATATACCATATCAGACCAGAACAATTCAGTCTGGACCACAAAATATATATCACATCAGATCAGAACAATCCAGTCCAGACCCCATCATATATATCACATCAAACCAGAACAATCCAGTCCAGACCCCATCATATATATCCAGACCCCATCATATATATATCACATCAGACCAGAACAATCCAGTCCAGACCACATCATATTTATCATATCAGACCAGAACAATCCAGTCCAGACACATCTTATATATCATATCAGACCTGAACAATCCAGTACAGACCACATCTTATATATCATATCAGACCAAAACAATCCAATTCAGACCACATCTTATATATTATATCAGACCAGAAAATCCAGTCCAGACCCCCGTCATATATAAAACCATAACAATCCAGTACAGACCACATCTTAAATATCGTATCACACCAAAACAATCCAGTCTAGACGCTATCATATATATCACCTCAGACCAAAAAAATCCAATCCAGACCACATCATATAGGATTAGTCCAGATCATTTAATATACCAGATCAGACCAGAAAAATCCAGTACAGACCACATCATATAGATCATTTCAGAGTAATCAGACCAGATCAAAACAGTCCAGACCACATTATATTTATCACATCCGATCAATCCAGTAAGACCACATCAT